AAGAACACAGTAGAATGCGGCTGTTACTCTATTGAAAAACTAGAAATAGTAGAAATTAAATCTAGGCATGATAAATCTGTATGCAAACAGTGTGTGTATTAATTGTGCGGATTTAACATTTTTATTTTTCTTGTTTTTTTATTTTAGTAAATAATTTATCTTGCTGCATTGTCATTATGTTCCTTATACAAGGTGTATCTTAAATAGCGCCCACTAATTATACATTCTTTGTAAAAAATCTGAGTCGAAGAGTGCTGAATCGTTTTTCTCTACAGTGCTAAATAAAGCGATCACGATCATTACTGCAGTAATTATTGCTTCATTGAGCATTGTAGACAAAAATAGTTTTTCAATAGCGCTCACTAATGTAACATGTAGTCCTATTCCTTACAAAAATTGAATAAAAAAGTCCGAACTATAGCAAGACGAAATAACTAATGTTTGTATGCAGTATTTATTTATTTATTAAAAAATCGTACACGTCTCAACGGCTCGCGACTCGCAATCAATCTGACGATTTCCTTTTTCGCTATTAATTTTCCTAAAATAACCCGTTATCATAAATTCGCGCTACGTGAATTTTCTCTGTTTGATTACTTTCCACTACAGAACCATTTTTTTCTCAAACACAATGAAGCAGTAATTACTGCAATAGTGACCGCTTTATTGAGCATTATAGAAAAAAATTATTTAGAACTTTTCGACTCAGTTTTTTACAAGGAATAACGCTATATAATTAGTGGAGGGTATATAATTAGTAGGCATATGTATATTAAGATACCCTGTTTATCTGCATTTGTTATTAGTTATATTTATTTTAATTATTATTGAGCTTAATTCTAATTCTAATTTCTATATAGTTGTTACATATCCATTCCATACTGGTCATCCGGTAATATCGCTAATTAATGTATCCTCCTGGTGTAGAGCTTGACGCCCAAGGGTATAATAAACACTTTATCTATTAATGATATTATTGGTTTCCGGCAAACACATGAATCGTTATGAAAATTATTAATTTGTAACACATAAACACTATTTGTCATAGTTTCATTTGTAAAATTACAAATTTTTTTATTATTTTCATTTTAGAAAAAAAAGACTATCAAAAGAAGAATATCGATAGCTTGTTTAATTTTGCGAATGCTGCCGCAGTTTATTAAAAATTACAGTTTATTATATTTTTTTAAATAATTCTTCAATATTAATTCTATTGATTATAATGAATTATTAATTTTCTAAATTTAGTTTAATGATATTTTCCAAACTAAATTACATTTAATAATTAATTACCGTTAATATCGTTCTTAATTATTTAAGAACGATATTAAATTCTATTAAATTCTGTATTATTTCTGTTCTCGCTTCAATATCAAGAAATTGAATTTGAATGCTTATGAAAAAGTAAAGAGTAGATTCGGAAAACAGAAAATACGTATTTTTTAACATATTTCGAAATATCATACTACAATAAGAATATTAAAACTGATAGTAAAAAATCACAATTTCCATTCATCTATATTAACATAAAAATCTAAAAAAATAATCGTTGTATGTGCAATCTAATACTTGAGGCAATAAATAACACGCAATATGTAGTGCCGTGATTTGTGCAAACGTCAAACGTAATTTTTTTTTTTTTCGAAATACGGGTCACCTATAAATTCTAATATTTTTATCGCGAATCGTACATTATCCAGGAATGTACACAGCTCGCGCGCTTTTAGTAGGTCAGTGTATCATTTTATTCGCGAAAGAGCGTTCGCTCGTAGTAAACGCAAGCTCGTTCGGCGAACGTCGGGGGACGTTTAAAGAGAATTTAAAGCTCCGCATCCCGCACAAGGAAATGATCCGTTGCCGTGCGAACGAAGAATGGTTTTGGAAAGCCCGTTTTCGTTGGCGCTTACTGCCGCGACGATTCCGCGTCTACATTTTACGACGACACTGAACACCGCAATTGTATACCGTTAAAACTAAAATATCGTCGCTGAGATAAAACCGCAGCTCCTTCAAACGGGACGCCGTTTCTCTTACGCTCACGGGGATCACAGTTTTCTATCCCCGACTTTGTCCCGACTTAGCCGGCGTTCATTAGTAACTTTGTCCTAAATCCAGTATAGAAGAAACTTCGTCGAATATATCTGACTGTGATTAGAAATGTAAAAATACCGCGAGGTATTAATAAATCACATTAAAATCACGCCGAGGTTGTCTGAAAATATTTTTAAACTATACATTCAAAATAAGCGACTCATACTATGCTTATCGTCGAAAAGTACCGTAAGAAAAATCGAACCCGACCGCTGTCCGTAACAACGTTAATAACTCGCCGAATTAAATAAAGCACAATAATCTTACTGTCCATCGAAATTTATGCGACGGGAACTGCCTCCCGACGGTCCCGCCGGGTTATGCAAAACGCGACACTCTGCGTAACTCGATAATGTCACAACGAAAAGAAATCCGTGGTCGTGCAAGAAACGCTATTTACGGCGATGCAATCACGCTGTCGGAGAAATCTGTTTACAGCACTGCCAGTGGTTTCCGCCCGAGTCGACTCTGTATAGCTCAACTCGCAGCCCTGTTGGTCTAAAATCCAATAATAATGCCACGACAGTTCGGCATATACCTACTCTTTTTTTTCAAAGGCCTGTTGTTTTCCGCACGTAATCGCGTATTCGTTTTTGCGGAAAAAAAACGCTTAGGGCGGAAACTCTCGTTTTTTTTTCGAAACAATGTTAGAAATACTCGGATTATATGCGGCACAAAAATAAAATAAAAAATATTGAAAACGTTAGCGCAAAAGCAAGTCTCATTTTCTGTTGCAGTTATTTAATATCCGACCTAAATTATCCTAAAAGGTTGATTAGAAATTTTAGCTCTTTGAGGAGGCGCAGACGTTAGTTATCTTTAATCGAAGATTTAATGAAGATTAAAATACACGTTTTCCGCGCGAGTGAAATCGTTATTTGATATCAAGCAAAAATTCTCTCTATGGAGCCGCACACACAACTTCGTTTTAGTTATGAAATACGTGGCGAGCAATTTCTCAGAAGAATTGAAGTAGATAACAGCAACAAAGAAAGCCTTTGTGATTTTATTAGTCATCAAACCCGATGGAAAATAAATAAAATTGCACGCGTTTGCGGGATACAATTCCACGTGCGGTGCGAGGCCGAAGTATTTTTCGCGATAAAAACGCAAAATGCTTTCAAGCTTGAACCGGTGATCCGGATTTTATGGGGTTGCTCAATAAAGACGATATTTACGAGGATCGAATTGGCTGTCGAGAGAAGTAACGTATAACAGATGGAACGCGGGGCCGATTTGTGGCTTAACGAAATCCTTGCTCCATCGCAGTTTCCTCGTATTCGAAGTCCCCGCGTACACCGCGACGACGACGTACCGGAACGGTAAACTAACAGGATATATACAAGCAACGAGATCGAAAACGTGGAAATCGAAAGGTGGAGCGCACGCCATCGCATCTCGAGTTGCCAAAGTCTGGAATTTCTTTTTCATTCGCGGCGGACATAAAAGGTTTGTGTCCGCAAAAGACCTGCAGAAAAATCGTTACAGAAACATATAGATACTTAAAGTAGTATAAAATACGATCCTTTCATCGAAAGGTGTCACTAGATATCAAGGAATAAGAGTTGGATATCTAAAACTCAAGGGTGAAACGAAGAAAGATAATATTTCAATGAAGATTTCGCTAGCTCGCAGCTGTTGCTTCTTAAGCAACAGCTGCGTTCCGTCAATAAAGCGATTAAACGCATTATACGGAATAAGCAGCAAGAAAATGCAGTAATGCTGTTTTAATAATGATGATGGAGATTTTATCAAAATTAAATTTAATTCGAAATGAGTAGCCAGCCAGTATTGATGATTATTGATATATCCGCAGCTCGGAATAGAGACCGACACATTCGACACATGTCAATACAAGAAGCTAGATCGCATGAAATGTCGATAGCATTAAATTTACCCCGGCGAATTTAATTAACTACTAAATTATTTTCATGTAAAATTCCGATCGGAGATGCGTTCTCGGGCGACGCGGTGCTCAAACAACGTATTCCGAATATCCATATTAAAACGAGTAATATCACGGTTGCCACTTGACATAGCAATATCAATAAAGACCGGACAATGCCGTCGCGGTAATAACCGAACGAAGTTATTGCAAATTATCGTTTTATTCCGCAATTTGATACACGATCGTAACATGACGCAAATGACTCGTGACGTTTACTCGATAAAGACGTTACCTCTCTGACTGACGTGACTCTCTCTCTCTCTCCCTCTCTCTTCCCATAACGCTCGCGACGAGAAAATCAAAACGACATGTGTAATGTAACGTCATGCCGCGCACAATCGCCTTGCGACGCATACGTAACGCGTGTCTTCTCACGAAAGATACAAGACAGTTTTATAGCCAGAACATAGCGAAGCTATTATTCAACTTTTTTTTGCATTTAGAGAACATTTTTTAATAATCTCAGCTAAACTATTTGTAGTTGATTTGATTTCATAATTCCATATTTTATTTATTTATATGCAACGACAATGAGACTTTAAATTAATAGCGCAAAAATTATATAACTATAACACTCGTCATAAAAAAAAACCGATTCTAATGATTTACTTCAGGAAGGAGATTCCTGACATCGCATATAACCATACATAATCTACGCCTCATTTATTTATATGCAAAAACAATAAGACTTTAAATTAAAATGAACAGCGCAAAAATTATGTATAACTACATAATACTCATTATAAAAAAAGGATTTCAATGATTTATCTTAGAAAGGAGATCCCTGACATTGCATATAACCGTCAAGTCTAACGTATTTGCCGCGCGCTATCCGTGTTATGGCGGGTTCTTCGAACGGTTAAGTCCGCTTAGAAATCTATGGCGCCATAGAGATTCGCGTCGACCCGGGAGCGAACGAGCGCTCCGGGGGCCATCGTTCATAAATATCAATGCGGCTTACCTGTACAGAGGTTCGCCGCTGTCCTCTTTGAACCAGAGCACCATGGAGACGGCGTCATTCGACTCGCGGGGCTGTATGTTACACGGCAGGATCGTCCTCTGACCCGCCACCCCCTGTATCGACTCCACGGGTACTGGAACACACACACACATCGACGTCTCATTCAGAGGAGCGTCCAACTCCGCGCCGCGCGAGAAAACGAAGAGTAATGAAGCAAAGAGGAATCGTTGGATAACAAAGAGTTATGGATCTTTTTTTTTTTAGGCGATACAACGAACCCTCAAATCCCTCGAGAGGATGTTTGAAAAGCTCTTTCTGATATCACTGACAAGATTCCCGGATATCGTAACTCCAATTTTTCACCAATCTCGGGATATCTGCGTGTATATACATTTTCGAGATAAATACACGAGATATTCAAATCTCGTGCGATTCTTTATATGACTGTTTAATGTTAATATTAGAGAAATCAAGCGCGGCGCATAACATTCTTGTCTATCTAAAATCGTTGTTTTCGAGATTACACCACCTGGGTAGCTCTGCGTAATTTAAACATAATGTATTCCTTTTTATGATATTTTATCATAAAAAGGATATGATATTTTATCATGACATCGAAACATGTGCGCGTTTCTCTCCGCTATACATTCAAACTATGTATATAAATCAAGATTATTTGGGAATATATTCTCGTACATTATATGCGTTTTCTATGATTTCGTTCACAATTACAATTGCCAGAACAACATCGAGCTTTAATCCTAGGGTAATAACGCTCCCGCAAAAATACGGAATGTTATTTTCTTGTTGTTGATACATGTCGATATTACGTTTTAATATGACGTTTATATGTAGGTACCGCAATACATAAATTTTTATGTAAAGCGAATTATCGATCTGTAAAATTATAACGTTCGCGGTTTTTGAAGAAACGCAAGCAGCAATAAGATTAACTCAGGGGGAAGTATGAAGAAAATCGATTATGCCACTTAAAGTGGCTCCTTAAACACGGTTCACGACACTTTCTCTACTCCGTCGCTCGACCGATCAGCTCGTCGACGAGCATTTCTGACAATAATGCAGATTTTTATCGAGTATAACCTCCTTTTATCTCCCACAAAGACTCATGAATAATCCCTTGGCGCGTACTCGCCTTTAATAATCCTTATCCCCCGGTAGGAATTTTTCGATCCGCGCTAAAAGCAGTGTGGTTTTGTTGCGGCTAATGAAGCGTGACCTTTGATCTTTCGCGAAGTGCAACGAGACACGATATTTGCGCTAATTAGTTGCAACAGTGTTTCCCGCGGTGTCAAAAAGGTATTTCCGCTATTTACCTACTACGAGAAATCATTAATATTAATGAATATAAAAATATAGGATTTGCCTGAATAGGATTTATCGTCTGAATCTCTGCCGTAGTTACGGACGCGAAAATGTGTTTGCGTCGTGGTACCAGGCACACCGATTTGGGAAATTCATGGACGATTTTGCATTTTGCTTTTCCGCAAAAGTCGTAAAATGAAAGTTCTACGGGGAAGGAGTTCTACGGCACCGCTCCTTTCTCGTCTGGAATTCGCTCAAGTAGACGCCGCGCGGCGCGGCGGTTGCGACGATAGGAGTCCCGTGCATACATTTTCGTCACAGGAACACGTATTACATTTATGTTGGCGTTACAATGACTTTATACAAGTCCTTTTGGGAGCTGGGGAAATTCGCAACGTAAGAGCCACCGATCTCGGTATGCAGCGCATACATTGTCATGCGCATCGCGATATCTGAGACTGTGTTTAGATTTGCCCATTTTTCGAAAGAAAACTCAAGGCATTTTAACGTTTTTATATTTGTATAAAATTTTCCATGTAAAAGAGAGAGAGAGAGAGAGAGAGAGAGAGAGAGAGAGAGAGAGAATATGCATACATATTGAAGGAAAGATAAGATGTTTTAGTTATGGCTTTCAAGCTGACAAGCATGCTATACAGTTAAAATACGTTTACATAAAATAGTTTCCTATATATTCAATCTTTTTACTTAGCCTGGAATTATTGACTTTTCATTGACTGAACCGAGACTATCTGTAATCAATAAGAAACTTTGCTTTCTGTACAAAGTGTCTCACGAAGTAGCGATTCAATGTAAATTGGAGAAAACAAATAAAGTTCTTAGTAAGATTATAGCCAAGTAAGTAAAATTATATCAGACTAATAAATCAATATGTTTTAAGAGTTGCTTTTATATACATTTCATATACCTAAATAACATTACTCTTTTATTTTATTTTATTCTATACCCGTCACTTTTAAAACCCTTTAATTTTGTATAATATGTTTGTCCTTTTATTTATTTATTTATTCTTTTCGTTAATAAATGTTCGTAAATCGTTAAATGCCAAACGACTGACTTATTTGCAAGCCTCGCCCTTCTTTATGAAAGGTACTTAATTCCTATATGGACCAACGTATGTAGTGTATATAAGTGAAATAAAAATCAATTGGTGTCTGCATATAAGAGCTATTTAACAAAAAAAATAGAGTCTACTCGATTCTTTCACAATGTAACTAAACCTTACAAACAAACAAACAAACAGTACATAGATCTATATAAATTACGGATTGTTATTCTATACTCGTATAGTTGAGCGTTTCAATTCGCATAATCTTGCATGTATGCTCGAATGAGCGGCGAGCAAAGTAATGCGCAAGAACATACGTTACACACGTGGAAATATCGGGTATCTCAATACTTTACGATTTTCTGCTTCGGAGGGATTTATAGTCGCGGCTGATATCTTGCGAAACGAAATATCGCCGTCTGCCAAATAAAAACGACGGCGGCGGTTGCGGCACAGCAACAGTTGCATCTGAAGGGCGTCGTGACGACGACGACGACGACGACGACGACGACGTTGCCGCGTCGCGGATTTTCTCGCTTCGGAGTCTCTCTTGCCGAGCATGTAACGAGCTATCGATACACGAATTACACGCCGCATTACGGCGTGCTAACGCGACAGTTATCCAGGACTCGGGGGCTCTGAAGACTCTTTCAAATGCCATTTTATGGAACTGCACTCGCGGGATTCGACGGGAGGGGAAGGGAGAAGACAAAACTACGCGTCTCAACGACTCAACGATGTGAGCGGAGGGCTCTGCAGATTGCATGCGAGATTGTCTCGTGAACAATAAAACCGACTCGGATTACATTCTAAGACGCGGTTGAATTTACAAGATTTGCTTTCGCGGCACTCGGAGACGAAACGTGTTTCGGAGTGCTGTGTACGTGCGTCCATTGCGAATGCTTGACAAGGATTGTTCTACGTTAAAATACTACAGAATACGGAGAGTATTGTTAAATAAATATATAGACTTCCTTTTTTATTTTGTATTTTTTAACGGATTTTTGTACCTAAAAATTTAATTACTGAGTCTTTTTCTAATTTTTAATGTTAAATGTCATGTTAAATATCTTGGTAAAAATAAATGTTGGATTTCAATAAATTTTTAAGATTCTGATACATAAACGCCGGATTATTGTATATAACATATATATAACCTATATATAATTATAAGTTAAATGTATTTAAGAATATCAAATAACAAATTTATTGTCATTTTCTATTGTTTATTAACATTATAAATTTCGGAGAATTTTATGTATCATATAAAAATACTTTTAAAACACGCGATTATAAGTATTTATAAATTTCTTATTTTTCTGAATTTCCACCGATAATTTATAATGTAGCCCAGTGTTTATAATTTACAATTAATTATGTATGCAAACTTCGTTATCTAATAACGAGAAAAAAAATTCCGTTTCATTTTAACAGCGCCGCATTAGAGCTAGCCGTCGGACGCCGTGTTAAGCGGCGATTTAAATTAAATTTCTCGTGGAACAATGACGCTCTACATACACGTTGTCGAGCGGAAGTGCCGGCCAAGCTCTGCCGGTGACACTTCCGTTGACTGGTGTAATTAACAAAACCGGAAAACCACGAAGGCCGGCTATTCGCGGAAGACTGTTGTTTGAGATCACCTGCCGCGAGATTCTCTGACGGATTTCTTATTACGTAATTACCTCCCTGCCAGACGCTGGAATTGTTGAAACGCGCAAAAGGAGCGACTCTGGCTAAATATCACTCTTTGTTTATTTTCTGGGTCGCGGAAGGAAAGTGCGTTTGCCTTCCCTTAACTATTTCGAGATTTTTGTTTGGATTAATTGTGCTCGTTTGTGACGCAACTAAATTTCCAACGGCGATGAACTTTGATGTTTGACATGAATCTTAATTAAATGGAAAAGTGCAAGAGCGCGCATTTGTTCAAATACTTTATCGTCATTTCTCTTATTTAAATATATACAGAGTGTGTCTTAAATAGCGCCCACTAATTATATAGTATTGTTCTTTAGAAAAAATCGAGTCGAAAAAAGTCCTAAACCAATTTTTCCATAATGAGAAACAATCACTACTGTGGCACTACTGTGATAATTATAGCTTCATTGAATATTGTAGAAAAAAATAGTTCAGGAATTTTCTTCAACCTTTGTTTTACCTTTTTTTGATAAGAAATAGCGCTATAGTGAGCGCCATTTAAGAACAATTTTGTTCTACAATGCTCAGTGAAGCAGCAATTACTGCAGTAGTGATCACATCATTGGCGCTATTAATGGGCGCTATTTAAGATACATAATCTATCGATTTATAATTTATATGTACATATATATTCGAAATCCTTTCTTTCAATTATTTTTTTTTCCATTAAATTCGTAATTTATTACATTTATTATTACCCTGTGCACAATTTTTCAAAATTGCAAAAATAATATATTTGAGTTTTATTTTAAGCTATTACAAATTAACTACGATCGTTATAATATTAATATAATTTCTTCAGTGCAAAGAAGTACAAAATTGATTGGATTAAAATGTGGAAGCATCGATACAATTAAAATAAAGTTAAATTAAATGCTTTACTACTGGTTCTACTCCCGCCGCTCTTTGTAGTGTTAAGAAGAATCCTTCGCAGCGCCAATCGAATAATCATATTTCATGGCATCCTCGAGCTCGCAAAGGTCTGGCCGTGACACTCTCTCGTGGCACGGAGAAAAAGAAGAGAAAGGGTACCGAGGCAGGGCAATTAA